AGAGAGAGAGAGAGAGAGAGAGAGAGAGAGAGAGAGAGAGGACAGAGAGGAATGCGTACCAGTTGACCATTGACCCTGACGGCGCCGTGGATGCAAAACTGTCTCGCCTGCAGAGTGCTGCTCGCAAACATGGCCCTGAAGATGGCGACTTCCAACCGCCTCTCCAGTGGTGCGTAGGTCATCTGCATATAGGGGGTCATTTGTTTGGCGACGTCGTTCGTCTTGATCCAGATGTCGTCATTTTCGACCACACGTTTGGCAGATATGTGGTGAAAGGTACCGGACCTCTCGCTGTTGGCCTCATTTTCGAATCTGCGGCGGCGGGCGTTCCATGATTTCGAGAACTGGTCTGCCGAGACGGCGGGCCTGGGGTCGTTGGGATCGAGGTCCCTGCCGGAGCCGCGGCCGGCAGCCTGTTCAGAGCCGTCGTACCGGGCGAGGTAGGCAGGATCGATGTCGACGGTGCCGAGGAGGCGACGAGAGAACATGCGCTCCCAGTCGCCCTCGCGCATGGTACCGCCGTGATAACCACGGGTGAGAGACTTGGCTGCCCATTTTTGCTGGAAAAAGGTCCCTGATCTACGGTTTCTCGAGAGCTGCATACGAGCTAGGTTGTACATGTTGAATTTGTTCCATGACATGCGGACTCTCTATATCAGGACTGCGTTAGCGGCGGTCATGGCTGCTCAGATCAGAAGCTCCAGCATGGCGAGTGATCAAGGGGGGAGAGCGGGAAGCGAGAGAAGGTGCTCTGGGGCATGCTCGGGACGGATTGTCACGTACAGGCTTTTTCAAGCTGTAGAATCTGGGGCGTCGGGCTCTCATGCTGGCGAATTGGCCCTCGGGGCAGTGTCGATGTGCCTTGAGGTATGCTGGGCGTGCAGGCTACGCTCGAGAACCATGCGACGCGGCATCCAAAAAATTGGTGATGGTCTGGCGTGCAGCACCCCCGAGACTCGTGGTCACGTGCGACTCAACTCAACTATCAGCCTCCGGCTGGTCCAGCTTCGTCCACCAGCTGGCAACGGGATGTCTTATGTCAGCAAACCGTGCTTGGGTTCCTCTTTCCCTGAGCTGAGACGAGACAGGCTCATAATTTTCTGCGACCCCACTTGCCCGCCTTGCGATGTGGGGCTTGTACACGGGTGCTGCAGGCGGTGTGGAGTTCTTGCGTGCGGCAGAATGGAAAGCTCCTGCCTCTCTGCAGGACGCCTGGCGCCTGCTGCATGCAGTTCAGCGCATCGCGCAAAAAAAAACTCCATCCAGACTCGATTAGATCCAGTCTACCTTCTTCACCTACCTACCTACCTACCTGAGGTACTCCAATGAGCATTGCCAATTGACCCTGTAGAATCTTGGACCACTCTACACACAGTTGCTACGACAAGCTTCGATCTATTGTATGTCTCTGTCCTCACCCCATCGACGTGCATCCCAACCTCTTCACGCCGCTGCTGCTTTACCCCGCCACCATCCAAAGTCCCCTGTCGTTTTCCGTTGCTTCACCTACCTTGCACCCGCAACTTTTGCTTGGCCGGTTACTCACACTTTTTCTGCTGTCAGACACAACACACGCGACTTACCTTTGTGCCACCAACTACTTCTATCTCGACGCCATTTCTCCTGCGCCCAGAGTGTTCATCTTCAATCACATTCAAACACAAAATTTACAGAGTTCGATCCCGAAATTGCACAGCCACGACCATGAGCGCCGTCGCTGAGCCTACCAAGGCTGACGAGGTCCCCAAGACCGACGAGGCTGTTCCTGCTGTCGAGACTGCCGCCGAGACCGCCCCTGTCGAGGCCGCGACCGAGAAGACCGACGAGACGGTTGCCGCCGCCGACAAGCCTGCTGAGCCTGAGGCCGAGGTCGCTGCCGCGACCACCGAGGAGCCCAAGATCATCAAGACCAGCGCCCAGCACGACCAGCGCGACAGCCGCAACAACAAGAAGTTCGATGCTTCTCTCCTGCCTGAGTCGGATGATCCCAGCCAGATGCGTCGTCAGGTAAGTTTGGTTCCTCCCGGCGCGCGACCACGTTTCCTAGAAAATCCCGACCGGTTGGCTAACTGCATGTCCAGGTCGAGTTTTACCTCAGCGATGCCAACCTCCCTTCAGATGAGCACCTCTGGAACCTCACTGGTGGTCCCGAGAACAAGCCCGTTGACGTCAAGCACATTCACAACTTCAAGCGCATGCGATGCTACCCCAACTACGCAACGCTTGTGAGCGCGCTCAAGGAGAGCACCGTCCTCGAGGTCATCGGCGAGGAGGGCGAGGAGCAGGTCAAGCGCAAGGAGCCCTACAAGCTCACCGTCGATAAGAACGACGTTACCAAGCGCGCTGTCTACGTCAAGGGTTTCGGTGACGAAACCCCCAAGACCCAGTTCGATCTCGAGGATTTCTTCACCGAGCACGGCGGCGATGTCGCGGCCGTCCGTCTCCGTCGCACAGATGAGAATCTCTTCAAGGGCTCCGTCTTTGTCGAGTTCAAGACCGAGGAGGGCGCCAAGGCCTTCCTGGCTATCGAGCCCAAGCCCAAGTACAACGGCCACGAGCTGAAGATCATGTCCAAGGGCGCCTATGTCGCCGAGAAGAGCGGCATGATTGCTCGCGGCGAGATGCAGCCCAGCGCCTCGGCTAGGAAGTTCTGGGAGGGCAAGGGTGGCAAGTCCGGCAAGACGAACGGTCGCGGACGTGGCGGTCGCCCCAACGGCGGCGACAAGGACGACTGGAAGAGCCGCCGTGACCAGGATCAGAAGGGCGGCTTCCGTGGAGGCCGCGGTGGCAGGGGAGGGCGTGGCCGCGGTGGACGTGGCCGTGGTGGTGGTCGCGGTCGTGGAGGTTTCCAGGACCGCGGTGGCCGCGACAACTCGCGCAACGATGAGCGCAACGCGTACGTACATCTCCTCGTTATGTCTTGTCGAACGCCGACTAACATGTCTCTTCCCACAGTGCCCAGCCCACGATCCAGGCCACCACCAGCGAGGGCAAGCCCGTCAATGACAACGGAAAGCGCGGGCGTGAGGAGAACGGCGAGTCTGGCGCCCCCCAGGCGAAGAAGGTCGACACTAAGGTCTAGATGCTGCGAGGGCGCGGCGCATGATACCAGGGATGCTCTGTAGCATGGTTCTCGGCGTTTGGTAGGCTTTAGTTACGGGACTTGGTACGATATCTGGTACCAGCAGAAAACGGAAACTTGAGAAGCTTTTTCTTTTTTGGTCACATTTCGCACACTGGCTGCCACCGCTAACCCCTGGTTCGATGAAAGAAAGATGCCGTTGCCACAAAGCGCTCGATCTGACGGACGGAGCGGCAAGAAATTTCCATCGGCGTGTCGACCGCGGCACCGAACGACGTTCTTTTCCCGGCCGACATCGCAACACCAACCACCTGACTCTCCTCCCTCTTGACCTGGCTGAATGAAGGGTACCGAGGCAGATGTCGACGGCACGCAGCCACAAGCATCCACCGCCCGTTTTCGTATCCATCAGCTTACGTACAGCAAGGGCGAGAAACCGTGAATCCCAATGGTTTTTTCTAAAGTAGTCCGCTGCTAGCAAGCAGTGACGCCGACTTATCCGCCCTCGGACGTCCACCTGTTAAATCCGGGCCACCCCAAACATCCCGTCTAATCGGGATTGCAGTGCCTAGCGCCGCTCTGCGGAGGGCGGCATCGTTGCTGCGGGCGATCGATCTGGGCGGTCATCGACGTGTCATTGGGCGGAACGTTCACTGCTGGATGCCACGATGGATCTTGGCTGTGGGGAAATCCCAGTTGCATAGATGTGTGCAGTGGGCTATTGGAGGTTGAGATTCCCTCTCTTACTTAAGAAGCATGCTTCTTTTCCTCTGGACTGCCCGTGTTTTCCTTCTGGCCTTTGCCACTGTATTTCTTGATCAAAGAGGTACACGGTTTTCCTCTATTTGTTGTCTAGTGGTGTCGATACATGCCTCGTGATTACGAGGTGACCAGCACGAAACCTGCCATGCAACTGAGTTGCTTTGCTTGAAGGTCATGCCAGATCTGAACACTTACCAAAATGTGAAAGGCGGCCCAAGAGAGGCTGGAGAGCCTCCGCTCGAGACGTTGAGGCATCATCTGGAGCGGGCCATACGGCCGGTAATCGATACCCGGGCCAACGAGGAGAAGGCAGCTACGCCGCGACACTCGAGCTCGAGCTCGGACAGTAACCATACCTCGCCGGTCAGGATTATACCAGGAAAGCGAAGCAGCAGACGCAGCAGCAGACCTGTGTCTACGCTATCACGGACGATCTCGGAGGTCCGTGACGGTATCGAAAGCAGGCGGGATCTGGAACTCTGTGGCCCGCATGATGGTGAAACAAAGACAGAAGAAGAAGAAGTGCAGGGCGAGAGAGACCCGAACCTGGTAGCGTGGGACCGACCGCATGATGCAGATGACCCGAAGCAATGGTCAGAGCATCGAAAATGGGCTGCTGTTTTTTGTGGTGAGTGTGTCTTGGCGTATTCGGCCTCGATGTAACTGACGATCCGCAGTCTCCTGTTTTACCTTCTTGTCCCCCGTCTCTTCATCAATGGTTGCTCCGGCCTTGAAGAGCATAGGTCAAGACTTGGATATTTCTAGCTCCACGGAGCAGGCCTTGACAATGTCCATCTTCGTCCTCGCTTACGCTCTCGGTCCCCTTGCATGGGGCCCTCTTTCGGAACTCTACGGTCGCATCATTGTCCTGCAACTGACAAATCTCTTCTATATGTTCTTTAACCTGGGCTGCGGCCTTGCCCAGACCAAAGGCCAGATGATTGCGTTCCGCTTCCTGGCCGGACTCGGCGGCTCCGCTCCCATGGCCATCGGCGGCGGCGTCCTCAGCGATCTCTTCACAGCCGAGGAGCGCGGTCGCGCCATGGGCATGTACTCCCTGACGCCGCTCCTCGGTCCGGCCCTCGGTCCCATCGCCGGCGGCTACGTCACGCAGGAGACCACGTGGCGCTGGATCTTCTACAGCACGACCATCCTCACAGCCACCATCCAGGCCGTCGGCTTCTTTGTGCTCCAGGAGACATTCACGCCCGTCCTCCTCGCGCGCCGCAAGGCCCGCCTCATGAAGCAAACGGGCAACGAGGCCCTCCACACCGAGTTTGACCACCCGGACCGCACCGTACGCGCCACACTCGCCACGGCCCTGACGCGGCCCTTCCGCCTGCTCGCGACGCAGCTCATCATCCAGTGCCTGGCCCTCTACATGATGTACCTCTACGGGCTCATGTACCTCGTGCTCTCGACGTTCCCGGCCCTCTGGGAGGACGTCTACCGCCAGCCCGTCGGCCGCGCGGGGCTCAACTACCTCTCGCTCGGCGTCGGCTTCTTCCTCGGCGCCCAGCTGTGCGCGCCCCTGCAGGACCGCGTCTACGCCCTGCTCAAGCGCCGCCGCGGCGCCGGCGTCGGCCGCCCCGAATTTCGCGTGCCCATGATGGTGCCCGGCGCCGTGCTCGTGCCGGCCGGCCTGCTCGTGTACGGGTGGACGGCCGAGGCGCGCACGCACTGGATGGGCCCCAACGTCGGCGCTGCCCTGTTTGCCATGGGCACCATTATCGGCTTTCAGTGCGTGCAGGGGTTCCTCGTCGACTCGTACACGCGATATGCCGCGAGTGCCGTCGGCGCGGCAACTGTGCTCCGGAGCCTGGCGGGGTTTGGCTTCCCGCTGTTCGGACCGGACGTCTACGCGAGCTTGGGGTACGGATGGGGAAACACGGTGCTGGCGGGCGTGGGTGTTGTTATCGGGTGGCCTGGCCCGTGGCTGCTGTGGAGGTTTGGCGAAGGGTTGAGGAAGAAGAGCCCTTATGCAGCTGGGGCGTGAATATGAGAGTTGCTAGGAACAGGTCTGTTGTCACTTAGAACGAGAGGATTACAGGGTCTTGGAATGGGCCCCTTTTCGCCGACTTATATGCTGCAACTGCCGGGATGATGACCGCGATGTGCTCACCTCGCCTTCCCTAACCACGTCTCAGACTTGCATTGCCCTGCGGCACTTGGGAGGTCCAGAAGCCGGTGCCCCTTCAAAGACGGCCACACCAAACGTCCTCGTCCAGCTGCTTCCCTCGCTATCCTTGACCGTCAGCTCGATGTAGTCGATACCAGCCTCATCACCAGCGGTGTATGTGGCCCACGACCCTTCTACTCCCACGCTTCCCTTTTCTGCCCCCGCCGCAGTAAATGTGGGCTTTTTCTCGAACCCCCGGAAAAGATCCTTCAGGTCGATAATCACAGACTTGCCCGGTGCAACGTACGTGTGGGGATCCGCCATGAAGTTGAGGTACCCCTCGATAGGCTCATAGCCAGCACCACCGGTGGAACCGTCCCACCAGTCGGCGATACCGTCGCCGTCGGCATCCCAGGAAGCCTCGCGCGTGACGGCGGGGAAATCCTCGAGACCACCTACGTCCGCTGGGTTGTCAATGAGACCGAGCTTGCCGGACTTGGAGCCCTTGTACGTGTAGGTGCCCGTGAGCGTCTCGTTGAAGATGCGAGAGTCGTGACTGTCAACGACCGGCTGGCTGACTCCAGCGTCAGAGAGGACACGCTTATAGGCCTCGGTCGATGGCTGTGTTTCGACATACGAGGGAAAGAATCTGATCAAGTTAGACAAGAATGACGATGCAAGGGTCAAGATGGTGCACGTACGGCTGATCATAGAACTTGCGGTAAGAGGGGGCCGGGCTGATTGTCACATCGGCCCAGCAGGCGACGTTCTTGTTGGAGCCCGTTCCATCGGGAGATGCGTATTGCACCGAGTCTTGGTCGAAGACGCCAGGCATGGAGTTACCCTCGCAGTAGTATTGTTGCTGGCCGGGCAGCTGGTTCTCGTACTGGGCACGCAGAGCATAAGTGAGATTGCTGGCAGGGCCCTGCTTGTAGACATTTCCGACAAAGTTGACCTCGTGCGCACCGCCATCTGTGACACGGCGACCTGATGATGTTAGTGTGCTGGTTTGTATCATAGCAGTGAAGTACTCACCAAAATTATACACGACATTGTTACGAATATCTAGACGCCCTCCAAATTTGCCCTCGTCATCCAAACCACCGCCCATGCTCCAGCTGCGGCCCTCGGCGTGCGCAATGAGGTTGTGGTGCAAAGAGCCGACGTTGCCGCTGACCGTCGCAGCGAATCCGTGCTCCCGGCCGGGCGGATAGTTCTTATGGCCGGCGACATTCAGAGGTTCGGAGATCATGCTGCGCTGGAAGGTGATGTTGGCCGCGTTGCGAGAAGAAAAGTTCTCATCAATACCCCATCCCTGTCACTTGTCAGTATAATCACTACCCAGCAGCAGAATGATGGCTAACCATGGAGCAGCGATCCAGGATGCAGTGGTTGGAGCCCGCCATGCCCATAGCGTCGACTGTCTCGCCAGAGACCGTGCCGGGCCGCACCTTGATGTGGCGGAAGATGGTATCAATGGCACCAGACAGGCCCAGTGGGTGCCCCTGAACGATGATACCCTTCCCAGGAGCCGTCTGGCCGGCGACTGTTACATATTGGTCGCTAACAACCATGCGAGACGTGGTGGTGATGACGCCTCCCACGTCAAAAACAACGTAACGAGGACCTCGAGCAACGGCCAGAGCATAGCGCAGAGTACCCTCCTCTTCGCTATCCTCAAGGCTGTTGACATGGATGACTCGACCACCGCGACCGCCTCGAGCGAAACGGCTATTCCATGGTCAGCGAGTCCATGGAAGGATATCGTGAAGAACCCACCCGTAACCCTCAGCTCCAGGGAACGCCAACTGTGCGCCACGTAGCATGAAAGCGTGACCGATGTAGGTCTCGCCCCCTTGAACGACATCCACGCGCCAATAGAACGTTCCGAAGACGTCAAGACCTTATTTTCTTTTGTCAATTAAGCGCTCGCGGATTGGGTAGTGGAAGAACTCACCGTCAAGCGTGGTCGATGTCTTGTCCAGACCCAAGGCCAAGCTCCTCAGCTCTGTAGGTGACGTGCCGATGTAGACATTGTATTTTGGTGATTTGGCATCGGGGGCCCGCCAGGATGCCTCATAAGTGTCACCGCCCTCGAGCTGGACACGCTCGTCGCGATTGTTCGGTTCCGGGAAACTGACGACGTTGTCGATGTCGGGAGTATCTATTTCGAAGCCGTTGAGGAAGACACGGCCGTCGGCGCCGGCAGGTATGAACTCAATGTTGGTTGTATCGTTTGCACCAGAAACAGTGAATTGAACGAAAGAATGAGCAGATTCCCAGATGTTGTCCACGCGCACTGATTGGGCAAGCTGAGTCGAATTAGCCACATCCGAGGATCATATCATAGAGGCTCAGCGCACCGTCTCCGCATCCTCGCCGTTGACCTTCACGGTCAGAGATGCGACTGCCTTCAGGCTGTCCCAAGCGTTGTGCCAGGTAAGCAGCGAGTGCTCGCCGGCTGGAAGTCCCGTAATGGAAATGGTCATAGGCTTGTTGCCCGCATCGTCGGTGTTCGTCGATATGCCCTGGGCCACGACCCTCTCACCTAACGGCGCTACGCGGCGAGTGTAGTGCCACTTGTAGGACGCGCCCGCGATGGTGGAGTTGGCGGCAGCGACAGTGATAGAAGTGTCGCCAAAGGTGGTAGAGACGCTCTTGGGCTCGCCGGTAATGGTCCACAGCTTGAAGTCAGGCTCGTCAAGGGCCCGGACGCGGGCGGGGTTGAGAATCACACGGAGCCGAGAGCTGGGAGGTTTCGGCGCTGGATCGCCCTGAGCCAGAACGGCTGCGGTGCCGAGGGCAAAGGCGACAATCGTCGCAAAGGCAGGCGACTTCATGATGATGTATTACGCGTTTGTCGAGCAGTCGAAAGAAAGAGACCAGACAGCCGAACAAGGTTTTGCCGGTGCTGTACCGACTAATGGATCCCTGAGTTTTCTCTTGTGGGCGACCAGGCTCCCTTTTGAACACGTCCGAAGTGCCATGGAGATGCAGAAAGCAAGGCGCGAGATGGTGATCTTCGGCACATCGTTACTGCCATAGTAACTGGGGCCGTGGATTTTCCACGAGTCGCTCGACAGCCATCACAATCAAGTGCCCTGCTCGTCACCGGTCGGCTCTCGCGTCGGATCCGAGGCAAGGGTGTGACGATGCTGCCATGGCTCACGTACCGCCGCCGCAGCTGAATGTGAGAAAGAGGATCCAGATTTCCTCGCATGGCCTGTGGCAGCTCGTCTCCATAGTTAGCCACGAAGGTGTCTCGCCAAATCAGAACACGAGAGTTGCAGATGGCATTCTATCTGTTGTCCCGATGGCAATTATCCAGGCGAGCCCATAGTTTCGAGTTGATTCTGGATCCATTAAGCATGTCGACTGCTGTCCATACGTGAAACGGAAGCCCTGAGCTTGTTTCTTGGTATCCCTGGTCGGGCAGGCTTCCCCAACTTGGGTCGGGTGTTGAAGAATCTGGATAAGATCTACCTCCCTTGGGGCGTCAGTGCAGTGCTAGCACGAGCAGGTGTCGGGTGATCCGTCCGTAGAATTGCTCCGATAGTCCGAACGAAGGCGCCTGCATATGTGCGACATGGTGATGAGGGGTTGGTGGAATCTGGAAGGGTGTGATGGGAAGCTGGTGTTCCTGGCGAGGTGTGGTTGGGATTGAGGGGGTGGAGAGTCCGGCCAGGGAAGGTACCTCACCGCAGGTACTTTGGTACCAAGAAATCGGATGGAGCGGCCTGTCGTGGGCTTACGATTTCAGTTGACGGGGTGCAGCGCGGGATCGCGGGCGAACCCTTCCCAAGAGCTCAGCCAGCACAAGTACAGCGTCGCGCCAGGGCCTGTATTGTGCGTCCTGTTTTCCAGGGCTCACCATAGCTTGGCCTTCGACCCGAGCGCCCCTGTACGTCAGTTTTCGTTGCTACCCTCCAAATCGGCTGCGAGCCGAGCGAGGTGAGCCAGTGTAAGCACGACTTGGTTACAGGACATGCTCTTTGTCGATCCCTCGGTTGATAGTTCAAGCAACATGCTTGGACTGTACAGGGTGCTTTCATAAGCTGGAGATCGATCAGCTTATCCTGACTTTGGCCAGAGTTGCCGAGAAGCTCTCATCAGTCCGCAGCGAACTTTCCTTTCAGCGCCATTGTTCTACAATATCTTGTACATCATGTCATTTTCCGAGTTGGTGCTCCAACTCTCAGGCCATTGGGTTTGGGAATCTACAGCGATATCATCCAGCTAGAACCTTTGAGAAGCCTCAGACTGTACCCGCTTGAAGCAAACAACACCCAGGTCAGGAGACTTCCAACTGTTCAGTCGATGTCAGGCACACCAGTCTCACGAGGACAGACCACTACTTGAGCTGTCATTCGCGGCCCAGGATATTCAATGCTATAGGAGCACAGTGTGAGCTTTCACTTCATTCACCATTGATCAATTACCGTATAGTCTGTTGAGAGGCTAGTCCTGAAGGCCGTTCTCCCGGCGAACCCTCAATTTTCTTAGGAGACATGTCAGAGATGAATGATCTCTTCTGACTTCAAGCTCAGGCTACATCTTTGCTACTTCATCACTACCCATGCCGAACTTGAACGGCGCACTGGATGTCTAGTCTATCAAGCTGCTCATACACATTGTGCATGGACGAAGTGCGGGTGCCGTATGTGAAACGTAGATAGGTAGGTAATAGTCATATTGGGATAAATAACCTCATACCACGATATGTTTCTTTGCCTATTGACCAGAGGAATGCGTCTCGCAACAATGAATTCACCACGAACAGTCCACGTACGCCCACGAACATCATAGGTCCAAGACTTACAGGTTGGCTGCGGTGTAATATCCTGAAAACAGAACTCTATCTACTTTCGAATCGCATTGGACTTCGCAAGACCAAAGGCATCGCAGCATCTCCCGCCCCTGCGCATCCTACGACGGATGGTCTGGAATTTATCGTCGACTCCGGCGCATGACTCGTCACTTGGTTCTCTACGCCACTTCGGTGGAAAGGGGCGCGACCACGCGGGGAATCGGTCTTCGATGCTGCGTCGCACGCGATCTGTTCCTCCCGCCGCCCCGGAATGCTCCTATAATGCGGGGAACATGGGGATCTCTTAAGGGTCTGTCTGGCCTAGCCACAGGGCGTCCTCTGCGTTGCCCTCAACACCGCGGTTATTCCACCAATTAAGTGGCCCTTTACTCCCATCACGAGATCCCCAGCAGACCATCTCCATCTCTGACCGTTGGGACGCGGACGCTGGTGCTGGTTGATCCTGCAAACTCGTCTTCAAACCTCTCTGGAATCCGCTCCGTATGCGATATATCCTGCTCGCCATCGATCGACCTGAAGCAGACCAGCAAGCCCCCCCCCCCGGACTGAATGAGTGGAACCCTATAGCCGCCAGCATGCCTACGATGAGCGACCACCAGCTGCAGCCTGCTAGCCCTAGCAGACCCCTGACCAACAGCCACTTCCCGCCGTCGAGTCCCACATCCCCGAGACCCTCTCACAGCTTCTCCATTCAGCTGGAGAGTAGCATGCGACGGTTCACCAAGGATAAGGACCAGCAACGTGCTGGCCCGTCACATGCTTCAATTCTCAACGGGTCATATCGATGTCCATCGGGGCATGCGACGAGGGCACCCAGTGAGTCTGGACAGCCGACGACGCAGGAGGACTGCGTCGAGTGTAATCAGATTCGGACGCAGCTGCATCAAGTGCAAGCCGAGATGGCCAGTCTGCGAGAGATGTTCGGAAAGCAGACGCGTGTGTCACGGCGAAATGAGAAGTAAATGTCTGTGTCCAAGCATTCCTAGTACGTTAGCTTACTCTGTTGCAAGACGAAAGCTCTGACTGACTGATTCCTGACGATATCAGTGTTTGCGAACGACCGTATGAGATATCTGAAAGTCCTGGCTTGTATGAAGCAGTCTTCTTGACAAGGGCGCCAGCAGTGTTTTTGACATTCGGGGTTTGAGGGGTTGAAGCGGGTTTGTTGTTCGGAGTTTCGGTTGTTCTACTCAGCTTATGATTGCTGTAATGGTCAATTTCAAAAAGGTCGACGTCTTTCCTGGTTTCAAAGCATCATCTTGACCATCCTTCGCTCGTGCAGCTATGGTATCTCGAAGTTGTTTCTCCTAAGCCGTATGGTAGGCAAGGGAAACAAATCATGCAATCGGCAGACCACAAGACGTCTGCTTTCACACAAGCCAATGTCCTTTGTCGCCATGACGATAGGGGATCAGTCGTTTCGTGACAGCTTGTATGAGGCATTGTTCTTGTTCTCACTCGAGATGGTTGAATTCGAAACACGGTGACAAAAAATATCACAACAACTTAGTCCTGTCCATATACTGAGCAGCCTTGTTGTCAGGGCACCACCTTCTGGGCCTCTATTTAACTCTCCCGTCCTTCATACAGCCAGGACAATGCTGCACTGGGATTAGGCTGCAAGACCACATTTTCTTTCTCAGTCTGAGCAACCATTGCACAGCATCCGACCTCAGGTCGCTCAACTTCATCACATCTCTTACATTAGTGTCAGTCCCGCTCACATGCTGCTCAACGGCAGAAACTGAGTCAAATCCCAACAAAATCATGTCTGACACAATATCATTGGCAACCCTGGATTTCAACAGTGCAGACATAGCCGACGCTGGCAGAGGCCCCCACCAACAGGCCATCGATGAGCCCCATGCCGTTACCGAATATGCGGATTTTGCCGCCAATGGCAAGGCCTCTCGAAGTCGCTCAGACGTTTTAGAAAAGGCGATAGAGACCCAGTGTAGGATGCTTCAAAAGTCTAGAGAGATCATTCGGGGGCTAGACCACCAAGTCATGTCAGATCTTGCAGTGATTGACCGAAAGAACAGAGCCCTTTACGAAAAGGACACCGAACTACTTCGCTTGACAAAAAGGCTCAAGAAAGAAGAACACGAGGCCACCGTATCGGACTTGCTTCTTAATGACGTGGCGACGGAACTGGCGCACCAGCATCAGAAGCTGAAGTTTGCTGTCTACCACGCGAATCTGTTCCAAGACCGTCAGAAGTTACTTCTGAGTCTACTTGAGGAATCGTTACGCCATGGCCAAGAACCTATTCAAGCTGTGATTAACAACTGGAAGCCCATCTGCATAGGTACAGATAGGATCAGCGACCTCTCTTTGGATGGAGCAGCTGTTGCGCAGCTTTTGAGAATCGTCGACGCACGGAATGAAGAGCGTCCGTTAGAGATTGACCAAAGGGTAGCTAATCAAGTGCGTCCAGTGGACAACACAATTGGTAGGATCTGAGCGATGGATTGGGCTTGTCATGTGCATGGGATATGAAGCTGGAAGTATAGAATTGACGGTGATTGCAAGACCGGCACAGGAGAAGTGCTACCACAGTTTTTGGAAGCGTATGAAATAGCCTCCCGTGAATACAACTTGGTCTGATCACCGTTTGATACCCTCCATAGCCAGTGTCGCTTGAGTCAACAGAAACATGACCAAAGATACAACCACGACAACAGTGAACGTGATAGCCATCTATACGAAGAGTCAGTCTCTCGAACAAGGGAAGCTGGAGAGGGAAAAGAATACCTTGGCACTGTCGTCCCACCAGCCATCCTCTGGCTTCTTATCCGGCCCAAACTCCGTCGACACCCACACGAGCACGAGAATCCCCGCAATCAAGCAAATAACAGCCGCCACCAGGAATACCAAGCTCGCCTGCCACGCATACACCTGCCAAGTCCTGACCCTCACCTCGCCATCCCTCTTCCCGCCCGTCATACTCTTCCGGATCCATTGGAGTCCCTCGCGGTGCGCGCTCAGGCGGTGCAGCCGCAAGCTCTGCTGCAGCGCCGTGAGAACGGCGAACAGCGCGAACACGAGGCCGATGTACCAGCACGCGCGGATGCTCCACGGCTGCTTGCGTCCGTTGTCGAGGACGTCGGGCCACGAACCCGTAGAACTCAGGCAGGCGGCGAGGAGCGCGCCGACCGTGCCAACAAAGTTGAGCTCCTGGAGCTTGTGGTCGCGCCAGCGCTCCGTGAGGTCGTCACGGAGGGCGTCGTCGGACTCATTGAGGATGGCCTGGAGCGAGTCGAGTGTCGTCGAGTCTGGCGCGACGAGGCCGCCGTGGAAGATAGAAAGGAAGGTCGCCAAGCTGCCTGACTGCAGTAGGTGTTAGGCTCATCGAAAGATGGCGGGTGGCGGCTCACTGACTTGGCTCCTGTCTTCATCTCTATTGCCCGACTGGCCCGATATGGCTCCTAGGAGCGGCTGCGTCGACATGATGAGTGTGTGCAATCAAGTACTTGCCTTGCAGTCTCAAGGTATATTCAGTGTCGAAAGGTTGTGCTGCAGTTCAGATACTTCTGCTTGGAGATAAACTATTCTCCGATGCATCGCATTCAGCCCCTCAAAGTGACGTCGTCTCGATCTTTGACCAAGATTGACAACGTTGTCTGGACTCAGGCAACACATGGTGTATGACGGGATGACAGGTGATCAAATTCCAATGGATGTGCCCTGGTGACTGTTGATCCATGCACCTCCGCGTCAGCGGTGGTGCGGCAAGCTCAGTTTGGATGATCTCCGAAACTGGTAGGCTGAAAGGTCGAGCCAAGCCTGAGCCTTCATATGCTAGGCTTGCAATTACAGGCTACTGGGGCGACGCCCGTAACAAAGTCTCCGGTACCACAAAGATTATGTAGGCTGTTGCGTGTGTCATTGCGACTCTGATAGGAACCACTGTTCGAGGCAGCAGAGAACTGAGCAACATAGGCAAAGGTATCCTTTCATTCCAAACTTACAGAGCCGACCCAAACCAAACCTGGCCTTCAGCTCATCCCGCCAAGCTCATTTATGTACAATGCAATGCAGGCAACTCCACGCAACAATCTCCAGTGTTTCCTCGTCTGTTCGCTGTGCCAGACATCACCTCCTTGCCCCCACTCATTACAGGAAGCGCATGCTTCCAGCCGGGCCTCTGTCGGAAAGAGCCTCGACCTCACGTCGGACGGTGCGCACCTCGCGGCGGATGTCGGCCACGTCCGCGCCACCAGGGTTCAGATTACCCATAGACATCGAAGCTGGGGGCAGGGCCTCCTCACACGAGTCGAGAAGCTCCTTCATTGACTGCCAGACGGCGTCGCCACGGGCGGTCGAGTTGGCTCGGCGCTTGCATTCCTTCTGCCAGCTGTCCACAACATAGACGATGAGCTCGATCACGCGAATGCGGTTGTTGCCCGTGAAGCCAACATCTTGGGCGTTGAAGATATCCTCCAAGGCGTTGAGAATCGTGATATGTGACACCTTCAGCTCGAAGAAGATGGTAATAGGCCACACAGGGTTGGCGCCGATCTGTCCGTCCTGGCCATACTCGATCGAGTATCGACTGAGGGCCGCGACGAGGAACTTAATAGGAAACACGAAGCTGTCGAGGCTGACCCGATGAGCAATATTTAGAACTTTCTGCGAGACAGACTCGTACGGCGTGAGCAGTGCCGAGATGCCAGGACCGGCCTCTTGCATCCTCCTGGTGGCCTCATCATGTGTCTGCTCGATCAAAGACGCCCACGTCGTCTCCACAGTGGTGGAGTTGCGGTAGTCGGCAACATGGTAAATCAAGAGGCAGATGTCGAAATAGCCAGCCTGATCCGCATAGTTATTGAAGAGCTGTTTGGCGTCAGTAAATCGCTGTCTGCCACGAAGAGTAGTTGCTGCTTACCTCTGAGACATCGCGTACCTGGCCGTTGAGGGCCTGGTCAATCTCCTCTTTCCTCTCTTCCACGCGGGGGTCCGCGTTCAGGCGCTGCAGGAGGTCGGCTTGAATGTTAGCAACATCAAGGCTCGCGGTGATGCTGTGAATGAGGATTTGCTGCTGCTGCGAGCTGATGCCAGTCGTTCGTACTTGAGCATTTGCCTTGGCGTGCGACAAAAGGGTGACCCTCTCCTTGATGCCGAGGTTGAAGTCTGAGCAAGCAAGCTCCGCCTGCACCTCGGCGGCCTCAAAGTAGCGACCCCTTTGTGTGTAAAACCTGCAAAGAAGGTCGGCGTGATCGGCGCTCGTGGCTGACAGCCTCTGTAGGAATGTGATGACATGTGGTGAGTCAATGCTGAGAAGGCGGTCAGCCCAGCCCTGCTGGATGTACCACTCATACAGATCCAAGTGGAAGACCTCGTCGTCAGTGCTGTTGACAACCTCATATGCTTCCAGACGCTTGGTGCCGATCAGGGTAAGCCTGCCGTCAATCTCCTCGGGCTCGCTGCTAAGAGCGGCGTCGAGGTGTCGAAGAGCATCATGAATCAGATCGTAGCATCGCTTGCGCTCCGCAAAGGCGTTTGCACGGGGATCCTGAGCAGGCCTACCCTCGTTCACCCACGACAAGGCGCTGTTTCCCCTATCCTTCTCGTGCGCTACAACAAGGCAGAGCTGGACGGCGCCAGCATAGTACTTGAGATCGATGTACTGGGACACGGCGTTGGAAAGGTTGATGAAAGAGAGGTTGCCAGCAACACGCTCGAAGAGCCTCAAGCTTTCGTGAAGCAAGCTTCGCGACTGGTTGCTGTTGGGTGGTTGTTCGGTCGCCCTCTTCAACTGCTCTTGAGCTTTGAAGATGACAACGTCGTCGGGGCTGCAGAAGCTTCCGCACCGCCTACGCAGCGCGTCAGCGACAGTCTCGACATTCGAGCCACTTTCAATATTGCGATTAACGATGGCTTTGACGAGAAGCTTAGCAAGTTCGCGACCGGAGGCTTGGGAGAAGAGCTTTTCGTAGGTAAGCTCCTTCAGCTGCTGCTGAGCATCTGGTTGAAGCCTCATGAATATCTCGTTGACACGCTCGTCGAAAAGCATGAGCACAAACGAGATGCCCTCAGAGATGCTCTCCATCAGCTTCTGAAGCGCATGAAGAGCCTGGTGCTCGGCTTGGAGCGCAATCTCTTCTTGTTTGCTAGCAACAAGCTGAAGATCTGAGGGGCCAGAAAGTCCCTGAATAAATCCACGATTCGTGTCGAGGAACCTCCTTAGACGCTCCAGCTGTTCTTGGACAGAGACAAGCTTGTTCGTAGGGACCCTGGATACGATATTGATCCCACCCGTGGGGCTGAGGCCTGTAGAGACAACACCGGACTTCCACAGCGTCCTGATGAGACGGGTGAGGTACACGCAAAGCGCGTCGTGTCGCGAAGAAAGTCGGACGGAGGCGGTTGTGAGAGGTGTGCTGTCCGTTTCAGCAATGGTAGGGTTTCCGCCATAGTCAACGAAGACCGTCCTTGCACGATCCTCGGTGGCCTGATCAATCGCACGTGGAGCGCCAGGCCTAGAATCTCCACCGTGGCCACAAGCGACTGCGAGTGCGCAGGCAATCGTTTCAACGCGATTGTAGAGCTGGATAAACTTTCGAGTCTCATGCTCGAGGCCCTCGTCTCCCACGGCGGTCCGCAGCGCGGAAGCGAATATGTCGACAAGTCGCCTTCGGCGAATGATGTGGACGCCGGTGTTGGTGAGAACCGCAAACTCGCTAGGCTCATCGTCAAACTGAACGGCGAGCTCGTTCCCGAACCCAAGAGGCTGGCTCGAGGCTGCAAAGGGCTTAGTTATGAGGCCAACAGCTTCAGCTCGGCTACCGATGTCAATCCAGTTACCATGCTCCCAGTATTTCAGCACAGAGGTCGGACCAGTCGCCTTGATGCGACCAGTCTCGGGAGCAGAGACAAAAAGTAGATCCGAATTGGGCTGCGACTCCTTGACAACAAAGTCCAGGAAGTAGCCAGGAGCGAAGCGCTCGCCGAGCCTGCTGACCTCAAGCGCACGCGACGAGGCGTGGAACTCTGTGTCGCCAGCGCTGTTCGTAGCAGTGCGACCGAGCTGGTCGGGGGGCGGGAATTTGATGTATTGTACCATCATGCTCTTCGGCGGAAGTGACGATTCCCCGTACACGCCGGCAGTAGCGCTCATGAAGAAGCGGCACCCCGAGCTGGTGAGTGCCATGAGGTGTAGGCGAGTGGTCTCCCGAGACGAGATAGGGCTTATAGAGACGATCTTCAAGTTGTTTGTGATGAGAGGTGAATTGCGAATAATCATATGTCCGATATCGCTGAGACACTGGCTCTTCTCCTTCTCGATCACCTTGACGAGGTCGTTGGTTCCGCTCATGTGGTACACTCGGATCGTCGAAGTAGACGAGAGGGTGTAGAGAAGCTTACGTGAGTCGTCGGCTACAATCTGTACGAGGTATTCTGGGGTCTTCGCGTTCCAGAATGGAGACTGGAAAGTCACAACGCCGGTCCAACCTGGGTTGCTGTGATTAATCCTGCCGCATCGACTTGAAAACCACCGCTCCTCCTGTTGGTAGTACAGTTCGTTGATGTCCGTGTCAGTGCTGCCGCCGAAGAAAATGCGTCCATCGGTCGTCCCAGTGATGATCCGAACGTCGCTTCCTCGTAGGGGCAGGTCCAATTTGGTCTGGTAAAGCGAGACGCTCTTGGTACCAGATGCATTGGGCTTGGCAGAGAGACCCAGAAGGTTGATCTCCTGAGAGGTCGCGACAACGAGCATGTGGGTAATGTCGGCTACGAAAATGCCAGGCTTCGGCGGCACGAGTGCGACAGCGTGAATCGTATATTTGACATCTTCGAAACCGATGAGCTCGGGCTCAGGCTGGGTGTAGTCCCAGAGAAACAGTGAGTTGTCGATAGCGACCCACGCGTGATTGATCTCGGCGAACAGTCCCATGAGGGTTTGCAGCTGACTGGCGTTGTAGTGGTTGAAGATCTCATTCGGGATTGGGTACATCTGGGTCTTGTGGAAGGGTGCCCAAGCAGAATCAATGCTGACAAGGTCATACTCAGAGGACGAGCCGGCTAGAGCAAAATGATCAGTGAAGCTCAAGGCGGCGTGGATGATGCAAGGGCTGGATATATCTCACATTTGGCATAAGACTCTAGATCAGGATAGTTTTGATCCCGCTGAAGAAACTCGTTGACGGCTTGGGCCGCCTTGGTGACAGGGGGCACATCGGGTGCCTGCTGCTGAACATGCGAGGCAGGAACCAAGCCGCCGCTCATGCCAGAGGTTGATGATGCCGTGACGGAGGACTGATTTGGCCTGGGGACGAGACTGCTGCTGGGCGCAGGATTTGCGTTCCCATCGAAGAGACGCCTTCTGACAGGGTCATCGTTGGATTGGAACCTGGAGGCGGCGGGGGTGTTGAGAAACGCGCCAGGCACAGGGCGCGCTGGTGTGATTGCTGGGTACGACATTTTTCGAGCTGGAGAGGTCGTGGATGAAAGGTGGTCGAAGGTCGATATGGCTTCACCGATCGAGGCAGCGCGTGGCCAGCGAAGGCTTGTTGTCGCGGTATGCAACCACCATCAACAACCAAGAAAAGAAGATGGTGGAGCAATTGCCGTCGAGAGAGCTGGGTTGGCGAAGGCACTGGGGTCTCCTCCCACGGGTTGATGGATGGCCCTTTGATGGAGCAAGGTGACAGGGTGAGTTATCGAAGCAGCAGCGAGATGCAGCTGGCGATTGTCGGTGCTTGAACGTCGGAGGTCGAAAGGCTGCACCTGTTCCCGGGCAGCGCGTGGGAATTTTCGCGACAGGGAACGACTGGAGCTGGAAAGGTGCTCTGGGTGGTACCTCGCGCTAAGCCCGTTTCGGGGCAAGGCTGAGGAGAGCTTGGGGCCCACTAGACGAGCTCCGTGGCTGAGTATGACTCTCCCCGACTTTTTGTCACATGTCGACGATAATGATAACGATGCATGGTAAATTAAAGAATAAATTAAAGAACCCCAAGGCGTACAGATTCCACGCTCTTTTATTCATCACGGTTCCTCTCTAACAACGCATTCGGCCGCTTTGTATGAAGCCTGCGACATGATCACGGGCCGGTCCATATTCGTCCTCTGATTACTCTGGTTTCTTCTCTTCAGCATCAGTCGCCTGACAAGCTGCACATCGCGGCCTCATAGTTCCATCCAGTCCCAGCCTTTGGCTTTCAAATACTTGAGCAGAATATCAAATCGGCGAGGCGCAGATCTTAAGCCTTCTTGGCCTCGCGCTCGGCCTTGCGAAGCGCCCGCCTGCGAATGTCCTTGTGCATCTTTCCGTTGTACCAGATGCCCAGGGCGTTTCCGGTACCGAGAGTGCTCTCGAGAGCCCAGACCATGATTGAGTGCGTCCACCAGGGGGTGTAGGTGTATGCCCAGTTTTGGTAGCTCCCTGATCCGATCTTACCAAGCGTGGCCTTGACGAAGTTCTTGGGCGTGGGGATCAGGGCGCTGGCGCGACGGACCTTGCTCATGGCAGTCGTGATGAGGTAGCTGAGGACGAGCTGTGTATCGACGCCGGACGGCTTGAGCTCCTCGGCGAGGGAGCTGTTCCAGTGCTGGAGGAAGGCCTTGCTGCCGGAGTAGGTGGCGAGGTAGGGGGTGGGGATCCAGCCGGCAAAGGAACCCATGGTCAGGATAAGGCCCTTCTTGCGCTGCACCATGATAGGCGCGATGATGGATGTCGTCTTCAGGGTGCCCAGGCAGTTGATGGTGACGATGCTCTGCAGCTCCTCACGGGTCGTGTCGACAAAGGAGACGGGGATGCTGTGGCTCTGGCCGACGTTGTTGATGAGGATGGCGACGTCGAGACCAGCAACGGTCGCGGCGAGGGCGTCGTAATCGGCGTTATCGTCACGGGCAAAGTCCATGGCCAGAATTTTAGACTGGACCTTGGGATACTTCTGCTCAAGCTCGGCGGCGAAGGCCTCAAGCTTGGACTTGGTTCGGGAGACGAGGACGACGTTGAAGCCCTTGCTGGCAAGCTGGAGAGCGAACTCCTTGCCCAGGCCGTCGGAGGCACCGGTGACAACGGCCCAGCTACCGGGCTTGCCATACTTGCGAAGCTGCGGATCATGGGGTCAGCACAGGGTCGAGAGTTCCGACTAGGTGGACGAGGGCCAACTAACACTGGTGCCGCTGAGAACGAAGACGCTCAGGAGGAACTGGAAGTAAGACAGGGCCTTGGTCGCAACAAACAGAGCTCCAATGCCCGCCAGCACAGTCAGTGCCGACGGCGGCAGCCTGTCGAGGAATTCTGTCAGAATGGTTTGCATTTTGGCTGCCAAATAGGTATTGTTGCGATAAGTGAAGGAAGAAGAAAAAACGCCAATCTGGACAGATCAGACAAAGGTCGAAAAAGGAGAGAGGGGCCGAAGCTTCAGGCACATGGAAAGTCAAATAGTTCACAGGCAAGACGGAGCCCCGGCCGAAATTGTTGAGGTGCACACCTGCCGACCGAAAATCAATCAACGCGTCCCCCCCCCCCCCCCCCACGCATCAGAAGCAAAAAAGCTGACGTCAGACGACAGCTGCTGACAGCCGTACACTGTTATGGAAGCGGCTTCAGGGGGTCCCCTGCCCTGGCAGCTGGCATGAGCACCCAAGGCGCTCGAAAAGATCCGCTGCTGCACCTCACCGTCAGCCAATCTCCGAATCAGGGATTGTCTTCAGCCTGTGACGCCGCCCAAGTACAAGAAGCAGAGGCTGCCCTTCCTGCTATTGAATGCGCTCGCACGTACCCTCAAACTCACACCAAGCTCGCCCTTCGAATACACTTGTCGAAATCGCCACTGCAATGGTCACCATCGCCGACCTCCTCCCCTCCTCGCAGGGCCTTCTTCCCTACTACATGATACTCGTACAGTCCTGACTACCCCTCCTCGCCCAGCATTCCAAGACACCCAAGTTGACCAATGCCGTCCCCCACCCTCTTAGGTCTCCTTGATCTCCGTTGGCAACTCGGCCCAGTGTCTCTTGACTCTCCACTACACCCGCCGTATCTACTGCAACAAGTTTGTCACCAACACGAGCCTGGCGCCGAAATCCGCCCTGCGTGACCCCGAGGACTCGGTCCACAAGCTTGTGCTCGCCACGAACCGCGCCGCCGCCGGCAATGCCACCGATCAGGTCACGCCCCTCGCCGCCCGCCTCTTCGCGACCTGGACCCTCCTCGCCGCCGTCGTGCGCATGTACGCCGCCTACCACCTGGAGCACGCACACATGTACGACCTCGTCCTTTGGACCTACGTCGTCGCGCTCAGCCACTTCCTCAGCGAGATGTTCTTCTTCAAGACGGTTAAGTTTGGCGCCCCCTCCGTGTCGCCCCTCATCGTCGCCACAACGGCCATGATCTGGATGCCTATGCAGAGGGGCTACTATGTCCAGCTCCCTTGAATAGGGGGTTTAAAGAAAGCCGGGGGAGGGGCTTGCTCGGCGCATGCTGCACACCGAAAGAGAGAGAGGGAGAGGGAATATTGCATCACTAGAACGCTAGGAGACGCAGCGAGCATCAATGACGTGGAATGATACACAATGATTTATTAACTTGTTCTATTTCGCGCTTTTCTTTTTTTTCCTTGCATCTAAACTCCTTACGCCTATTCCAGTTGATCGCGATACAGCTTTCCTCCGCAGTTGCGCAGACGCGCGGCGGCCTGCTCGGGGGTGATATCGCGCTGCGCCTCAGCCATGAGCTCGTAGCCGACGAGGAACTTGCGGACCGTCGCGGACCGCAGCAGGGGCGGGTAGAAGTGCATGTGCAGGTAGCTGTTGTCGGCCTCCTCGTCGGTCGCGTCGAGCGGGGCTTGGTGGATGCCGGCGCCTACGGGAATGATTGTTAGCATTTTTCTCTTGAGGCTACATAGACGGCCCCCCAAAACCGGCAGAAGAAGGGGAATGAGAATGAGCGCGGCACGTACTGTAAGGGAAGTTTGTCTCGAACAAGTTGTCGTACCGCCTCGTGACCTCCTGGATGGCTTCGGCATAGTCCTCCCTCTCCTGGGCCGTCAGGTCGACGAGGGCGCGCACGTGGCGCTTCGGCAGGACGAGGACCTCGAACGGCCAGACGGCCCACCAGGGGCAGACGACGAGGAAGGTCTCGTTCTGGAAGACGATGCGCTCCTCCTTTTCCAGCTCGACCTTGACGTAGTCGGCGAGCAGGTGGCGGCCGGCGTTGGCGGCGCGGTACTTGGCCATCTGCTCCATCTCGGCGCGTGGCTCCTCGGGGGTCGTCGAGGTGGTCCAGATCTGGCCGTGGGGGTGCGGGTTCGAGCAGCCCATGGCTGCGCCCTTGTTCTCAAAGATCTGCATGTAGCGTAGCTGGGCCTTGGGCGGCGTGATGGTGGCCTCGGGCGCCGGCGCCGGCAGGGACAGCTGCGCGGCCTGCTTGGCGAGGGCGCTGGCGGGGTCGAGGTGGGATGCGTAGATCTGGGTCCAGATCTCAATGACGGGAACAATTTCGGCAGGCGTCATGTCGGCGAGGGTGAGGTGGTGCTTGGGCGAGAACGTGAGGACATAGCAACGGCCGGTGGCCGACTCGGCGCGGAGCAGAGACGAGGCGAGGTCGGTCGAAGCATCGGGCGGATTGTACTCGGCCTGCTCCTCCTTGACGGCGCTGTAGTCGTTGACGAAGATGAGCGTCTTCTTGTAGTCTGGATTGGTATCGCCGGCAGCTCGCGCGTTGCGAGGGCACAGGTAGCACTTCCAGACCGTCAATAAATGGGCCAAAGACCACTACACAAGTCTTCAGGCTAGAACTCACAGCAGGATCGTACTCGGGAAGCTTGTTCTTGGAGGGCTCCTCCTTCTGGCCCCTGGTTTGACGCTTTAGTCGGTGGTCTTTCCTGAACCGTCTGTGATGATAGGAGATTCTTCTTACTGCCAGGGACGCTTGGTCCGGTGTGGTGAGACCAGCAGCCAATTGCCTCGGAGAGGATTGTATCTGCGGTGGGAGATGTCGTCGAGGATGTGGTCGGGCATTGTGACAGGCGGTTGTTCTTGGTCCTGAAGTTGACTTGGGGATCTGGATTGAAACGACGGGGATCCCTCAGAGAAATGGGACAGAGAGTCGGAGATGATGCCCCTCACTCAAGTTGGCGAAAAAACGGCAAGTACGCTACGCTATGATACCGATCGATGAGGGGTGACATGGTGGGGTAGCTTCTGAGGGGACGGCGGGATTTTATGCGCTTGTGATTGTTGCTCGGGGCGTCATGCTACGAGTCTGGACTGTGAGACTATTCTGGTGCTGTCGGGAAAGTTGCGGAATTGGTGTTAGTAACCCGAGTCCAAGTTCCAGCATGCGCGGTTTCTCTCGTCGAAAGAATCGCCATTGTGCTCAAAGGCTGTGCTGGACTCCGAGCCTAGGTAGGTATGCAACCCTCTTCCAGGCTGATTGAGTCTGCTGGCTTGCAGTGTGGACTGGCCCTTGACACGAGGCCAGGAACATGGCAAGCAAACACCAGCATCTTCATACGGGATTCCGGGGATAGAAATGGATGGGTACGCCGGATGACGAACTAGCAGCTAGTGCCGTCTTGTCAAATCGCGCTGCAGTCGCCTCCATCGACGCGCCTTGCATCTGGCGGCCCGGTTTCGGGCCGGCGCATTCGTCCTTTCTTTGGAGGTGCACTCGCCTTGGTTGGCAACTTTTATCTCGACAGGCATGCATTCTTTTAGTACAGACAGTTTTCGCACCCAGTAGTGGGTGGCTCAGTGCTTATCAACCCAATCAATGAACCAATGGCGATGGCCCGCATCTGAGGAGATGCAATACATCCAGTGATAATGTCCATTCATAGTAGTAAACATGCTCCTGGTGAACCGATCATCTCGTGTCTGAATGAAAGAGCCCCGCCGCACTTGGCAGCACCTGGTAGCACTTGGCTGCATACTTGATACATGCTATTGACTGTCTTTTAAGCACGTGCACTGAATCGAACCCAGCGAGGGTCTCTCGATTATGTCATCGCCCGTACCTGCTGAGGCCCCACCAATGAGGGAGGCTCTCCGAGGCTTCTCCACTATCAAGCTTCCGATCCGGGGCAACATCGAATCGCGACATTGAGCATCGTCACAACACGTCCAACCGATTTCATCAATTTCAGACCACCAAACATCGATTGCGATTGCTTCAAAGACCTAACTAGAGATTGCGCCCAATAATCTCTCTGCTCGTGACGAAAATCTTGCGTGAACACGACGCGAACGCCTCCGACGGACCGGTCAACCAACGCGCCGGCAATCCATTTCCGAAGACACGTTGAATCAGCCGGGCCAATCCGACTCTACCCTATCCTCCGAGCAGCTCTCGAAGTACCATCTGGCGACGCGCCGACGCGGTTTTGACTTTTCTTCGAGCGCAACATCCTGCCACTCTCCGACCCGTCCTCTTCATCTGCCTCGACTGGGTGAGGATCTCCCCAGGTATCCACAATAGCTGGAGACGAGGGCGCGATGGGCGTGATTCGAAAGAAGACCGCCACGCGCGGCGGCGAAGGCGGAGTCAAATACCACTGCGATGTCTGCTCAGTGGACATCACATCAACCGTAAGTCTTCATGCCAACCCGAGTCCTTGCCCCCGGCGCGTGGCGCGCCGCATGCGAATCTTGGACTGACCTCGCCCCTCGCAGGTGCGCATCAGATGCGCGCATAGCGCATGCCCCGACTACGATCTCTGTGTCAGTTGCTTCTCTCAAGGCAGCTCTAGCGGCAACCACAAACCGGATACCCACCCGTTCCGCGTCATCGAACAAAACTCCTTCCCCATATTTGATGCCGACTGGGGCGCGGACGAGGAGCAGCTCATGCTGGAGGGCGCTGAGACGTACGGTCTCGGATCGTGGGCCGACATTGCTGACCACATTGGCGGCTTCCGCAACAAGGACGAAGTACGCGATCATTATCTCAAAGTCTACGTCGACTCGCCGGCGTTCCCTCTGCCGAAAAGATGCAGCCCGCACGACATGGAACTGGCCAACGAGATCTCAAGAGAAGACTTTCAAGCGAAGAAGAAGGCAAGGATCGAGGAGCGCAAAGAGGCTGCTAAAAACGCCCCAGCCCTCCAGCCCAAAACAAAACCAACGGCGTCAGTACCATCTTGCCACGAGATTCAAGGATACATGCCTGGTCGTCTCGAATTCGAAACAGAGCACGCAAACGAGGCAGAGGAGGCGGTGCAACTCATGCAGTTCGATCCAGGTGATGGTATCAACGAGCGAACCGGCCAGATCGAGCCGGAGATGGATCTGAAACTCACCGTCATGGATATCTACAATGCACGACTCACACAACGTGTGAACCGCAAAAAGGTCATTTTCGAGCACAACCTGCTAGAATATAGGGAGAACAACAAGCAGGAGAAGAAGAAGAGCAAGGAAGAGAGAGACCTCCTGACGAAAGCCAAGCCGTTTGCACGGATCATGAACCACGACGATTTCGAGGAGCTCAACATCGGACTTATGGATGAGCTCAACCTCCGACAAGCCATCGGACAGCTACAAGACTGGCGCAACATGGGCATTGGCGACCTTCGAAGCGGCGAGAAATATGAGCAAGAAAAGGCATCACGCGTGCAGAAGGCTGTGCCCATGGGTTCCATGGACCGCGACCGTCTGGCGTCTGCCCAACGTAGCAAGGCTGCCGCCGCCGTGCCGGATCCACCGAGCGGTGCAGCTCAGCTCCTGGCGCCCGAGCTGTCGATTCGTCTGGCGCCACAGACAAATGGGGTCAACGGCGAGACTGGTGAGACAAAACCCACAATCAACGGTCACGGCGACGTTGCCTCGACAAACGGCAGTGTCGTGGTTGCCAACGGCACAGGCCCCGTCACGCGCCCGAAGTCCATGCCGACACCTATTGCCGGCATCACGCCCATGACTCTCACTCAAGAGTCGGCGCCAGACCTACATCTGTTGACGCCCGAAGAAGTCAAGCTCTGCGAGATTGTGCGACTGCAGCCCAAGCCATACATTATGATCAAGGAACAGATCATGAGCCACGCGGTCAAGGGCAACGGCGCGCTTAAAAAGAAGCAGGTCCGTGAGATCTGCCGACTGGACTCACACAAGGGTGGCCGTATTTTTGACTTTTTCGTCACGGCGGGCTGGATCGGTCGGGCTTGACGGTGTGGCCAGGAGCAGATGATTTTGATTTCGTTGTCTGTATAAAATGAGATACCCCCACCGGCATGCACTCACCACGATGGCGACGAGATGGTCACCAAGAAGTGGGAACGAAAGTACGGCCCGGGCATGTGGAGTTGGGTTATCATGATGAATGGTGTTGTTGTGTTCTCTCTGGCAGGATACGTGGCGTACAAAGGTGCATACGAGCAATGAGGAAGCGATGGGACCTTTTTGATGAAGAAAACATACGGCTATCTGACCTACCTTACTTGATGTGATGCCAGTGCCGACCCAGCGCCTTGGGATGGTCTCCTCGCCTGCACAGTGGTCGATGCTCCGCTCGGATGTGGTGCCGAGAGCGACCCCTGAATAATCACATGACACTGATAAGACGCTTATCAGCTTGGGAATTCGCCATACGACCAGTTGTTCGTATCCGAACAATTGAGGGATGCCAAAAGGGATCGTTTTCGCGACGCGCCCCAAAGATATGCCTAGGTTGATACCATAAAAGTACCTCATTCTGACGGTCAGCCACTGAGCGCGCGCCTTTATCAGATCGCTCGCAATGGCCGTGTTAACGCATCTGCTCGGCCTTGGCCTTGGCCTCATCCAGCTCGCCGCCGCCGCAGGTATTGACGACAGCCTGCCTTCGTATCATTACGGTGCTCCTATCCAGGTCGAGTGCATGAACCGCAGCTCGTGAGTGCTTTTCTCCTTCCTCAGTCGCTCCGGTGAATCAAGAAACTTTGTTCTCTGAGGACGAATTCCCCCCCCGCGCTCCGTCGGTAGGGAATGGACGCACTGACGCAGAGAATATCAGAGACACGGGCGAACACCTCGAAGACGCGAATCACCAGCTCATCTGGATCCCGTTCCCCGAATGCAGCGAGACCGGCAAGCCGCTCGAGTTCGCCTACGGCCACGAAGGCGAGGTCAACTGCACGATCCCCATGATCGACGACCCCTTCTTCCACCTTCTCGAGTTCTATATCCACAACGATGCGCCGCTCTCGTGCCGCCTCCCCTCGCGGCCGGCGCCCCACGTCGAGATCGCGGGCCAGAAGCCGCCGGAGCGCGAGTACGTGCCGCTCGTCTTCGCGCTCGCCGGCACCCTCCAGCTGTCGCACCTGCACATCAGCACGCACCTCAACGTGCTCCTGCACTCGGTGCCCAAGCATCACATCCACCCGCACGACTCGGGCGTCCTCGACTCGGGCGCCGCCTACAGCACGAGCCCGCTGAGCCACATGCAGGGCACCGCCTCGAAGCGCCTCGTCATCGGCGACCCCCTGCCGCTCTCCTTCTCCGTCCGTTGGTTCCCGACGCCGGCGCTGCCCAAGACGGAGGGCACCGTCGAGTGGCAGGGCATGGGCGGCCACATTTACGCGAGCACCGTCTTTTACAGCATCGTCAGCTTTGGCGCCGGCGTCACCGTGGCCGGCGCCTACTTCCTCGGCGTCGTGCTGCCCAAGAGGCTGAAGAACAGGACCCTCGGCGGCGCGACGCCGCTGGGCTACGGTGTCAATGGGGTTGGCGTCGGGAACGGATGGGGGTACTCGAAGGCTTCGAAACGTCTCGACTGAGGGGTGTCAGTATAGACCCAGGCGCCTGTGTATGTGTGTATGTGTGGTGGAGTGGCGCGTTCTACGACGTAATGTTACATACTGGCGAGATGGACGCCGGGGACAAATTGTTTTGGCTGTATGCCTGTATGTTCTGGGAGCTTCATGGGTTTTCTTTTTCTATCTCTTGTTACATGGGTGGGACCGCTTTCCCTCCCGCCTGCATGAAGTGTATGACTAGAACAAAAATTTGGTCCGCCTCCCGAAGAAGAGGCAAGATGGCAAATGCTCACTCGTTCTTCTTCGTCTGAATGGCCTTTGTCTGATCCGCCGCCTTCGCCCGAGCCAAGAGCCGGTGGCCCATGTCGTAGGCAAGAATGCTCGCTAGACTCTGTCAGTTTGTGACAATCTCAACATCAGGGAAAATTCGGCGGAACGTACGGATGAGTACCCAAGGGCCGTAGATCAAGAACATAAAGTTGGCCTTCTCGGATGTGGTGTACACGGCACGATCCCAGTAGGGCACGTCAAAAACGCATGTCAGGGTCGTCAGGGCGACCTCGACGCCGTAGATGACGCAGGCCAGCTCGAAGCCAGGCGTGGTGCCCTTGGTGTGGTCTTCAAAGACGCGGAGCATCCAGAAAACCATGGGCAGCTGGTAGGCAATCTCGAGATAGGTGAAGAGCAGGAACCACGAGGGCAGCTCGCCATGCGGCGTGACAAAGTACCGGTCGTTGTAAGCGTCAATGTAGTACTGACGCAGGCGGAACAGGATGCGCAAGGGCGAACCTTCAGAGTTGCCCATCGTAGGCGGGTAGAATGGCGGCAGGTCGACAACTGGCTCTCATTAGGCTCTGGCTTTCTTCGACGAACAAGACAAAATCGCCTCAGAAAATCACATCCGAGGTTGATGCTTACGTAGAATCGCAATCAGCTGGACGCCAAAAATGATCATGTAGACATAGTCCCGGCGCAACTTCGGTGAGGCAGACATGGTGGGTTTTTCGGAGGCCTTGCGACTGCTGGTAAGCTGTAAGACGTCACTCAATGGTGAGAAGATGATGAAACGTGATGAATCGCGATGCCGACGTCTCTATACTCTGCCGCGTGTTCGCGATCTGTCAGATGAGATGATGGGTTTAATGCTGCGGATAAGGTTCACAGTGGGATGCAAGCCGCGCAACTGCAGCCAGCTGGCGACTGCCCCTATTCTTCTAGACTCGTCCCGGTCATCGCCGCCCGCCGCTCTGTCTCGACAAGACAACTTCAACGTTTGAACCACATCTACGGCAGGACGATTCCAACTCTCGCTCGATTTTTACGAGTCTTTTTCCCAAGCATGTACTCAGATGATGTTCCTACAATAACGCGACTGCGAGGAAGAATGTCGCCAGGACACCCGCACATGAGACCATGGATACTGAACCCGAACTGGGCACCGGGCTGTTCCCGCTGCCCTCAGCCGTTCCATTGCCGCCAGCGGCATCAATGGTGAAGTAGGTTCCTCCGATGGCCGGCCCAAGGCCGGCTTGGGTGCGGAACTGGACCAGCTGTAATGCATCATTAGCCAACGGTCAAGACGCAGGAAACCGCGCAAGCATCATCATGGAAGATGATGGCTGGCAGCGAAGAGGACACCCACATCGAACATCTGCCTGTCATCGGCAACAAGACCCACGGAATCGAATCCCGCGCCGTTGAGCGCCTCGGGCTGCACGTATAGCAGGTAGATATACCTGTGCACGCCCGTGCCAGCCGGGGGTGCCGGCGGCCCGTAGCTCGTGAACGGCGCAGAAGAATTGACGAGCGTCGACGCCGTCGAGAGGACCGAGGAGACGGCCGTGCCGACGGTGAAATTACCGGCAAGGTAGTGTCTGATGCTGCGGTTCGTGGGGTTGGCGCGGCTGGGGGCGTCAGGCCCGACCTGGTCGTCAAGTCAGCCCTTACGAGAACCTAACCTATGGCCGCATAGGGGTGAGGCAGCACCGGGGGCGACGCGCAAGCTTCACTTACCATGACGATGATGAAGCGCGTCGAGTCAGTCACGTTGGCGGCATTCGCAATGCCCTCGACGCTGAACTCTTGCGGGGCCACAGCCTCTGCGGTGGACAGCTCTGTGCCCGGTGCGATCAGCGCGGCGCCGTGACCATCTACCGTGTTATAGCTGGCGTAGAAAGCTACAGTCGGGTTAAAGGCAGCGAGGACGTCGGGGACGATGCCGCCGGTTGTAAAGGCGGTGCCAAAGTCCTGTACTGAGACGCTTGAGGCCGCGTGGCCCTCGGCGGCGCCATTGCCTTCATCGCCGTGGCCCAGGACAAAAGGCAACACGGCCGCCAAAGCGAGAATTGTCGTATTTCTCATGATCGAGAATTGATTGAGTGCCAACCAATGGGTAGTTTGGGTAGGCTCGTAACGTAATTAGAGAGCTGAGTAGTCGTAACCGTCGTGATGCGCAGCGACCGAGACAGAGGCACAGCACCTTTGTCAAGCAAAAGAAGAGAGATGAGAAACTACTGACTGCTACGAGGCATAGGTTCTGTATGCTGCGGGACACCGTCACGCCTCGTTGTATGCCTTTATACCTGTCCTGACGAAGCGTGCGTCTCGATACTGCCCTCATTTTTTCGTCGGCTGCGAGAACGTCTGCGCCATCAGCAGCCGAAACATGCGCAACGAACCCAACGGATCATGACCAAAACATGCTCAAAGGAAGTCCCAAACATTGCGCATGACGAGACCTGAAGAGTGTGACTGAATCGAGCTTCCATCGCGGGCGCTAGCATGAGCATTGGGCATTGGCGCCTCCCAGAGTTTCAAAAACTTGCGCACCTGTTCCTTCATCCGTGTCAGCCTCAGCCATTTCTGATTTCGACGAATTTACGTGTAAGCATCTTCGGGTGCCGATTGAGCTCGCTTGACCTTTTCTCTCATCGCCGTCCTAACTCTCAAGCCAAGGAAAGAACCTGGCAAGCCGGAGAGACAGATCAGCGTAGCTGGCACACTGAACGACTCATGCTAACTGAACGGAATGGTAGAGCAAGCCGGTCTGAATTCAGAATGAAAAATGCACATTAAAACTCTTTGCGTCCGGACATTCAACATACGTCTCGTTTTGGATGGTAACGTGACTTTTAACTCCTACGGTCACAAAACACCAAAACATGGCGGGCTTGTTCTATCCTGCGATTACACAGTTCCGAAGTAAGACACATCGTCAGCCCCTCCGACGAGTAGGCTCTTGGGCTACAATTGAAGAAAAAGTAACGTATCGCTAACGTGATGAAGCAGCCCTTGAAGCAGAACCCTCTCCGCCTGGTCTGCATGGGCGCGGGCAGGGGTAAAGCAGCGCCGCAGATACGATCTGCATCGTCAATGTAAGCTACAGAGCACGGCAATCATCAGACCACGGCAATCAGTGCACTGGTCAGAAACACCATTTACAGTGTCATCGCGGGTGGGTACTGACGTCAATGTCCTGACCGCTGCACAAACGGGAGCTTGGCGGCGGTTGGTGGCTTGGGTAATATTCAAGACGTGACGTTGGGCAATTGACCCCGCATACTGCAGATGTGAGAATCGAGAATAAACAGGAGCTGTTAGGTGGATGGCCTGTGAGGGTGAATGAGAGGCGCATGGCCCAGATTCCGTCGGGATCGGCGTGCTCGATTGTCTCTCGTTTCTTTGCGTCTTGAAGTGGTGCAGTCTGCTCTGCAATTCAACTTCCAATACAGGCCGCCATCGCGCACCGAAACATATCTGGTCGGATCAGATTTTGCACGCGATTGAAAACAGCAACATGAGCCAGTCTGTGGCGGATCCGTCCCCAACGGCGACGGTCACTGCCCAACCCAGTGGCATGCTCGCACCATCACATTGGGTCGACACGGCACCACAAGCCGAGGTGAGTGACGGCATGACACGCATCCTCTCAGGGAAGAGCCAAATGACGCCGACATGGATAGCTGACGGGCAGCTGCACAGGACGAAGGCAATCGGGGGGCAACAGTCGAAGACGACGACTCCGCGTTCATGGACGAAGGCGCAAGCTCGAGCGCCTCCATCAGTTCCAGCATCCTACAGTACCGCGTTATTAACGGTCGGACGTACCATTCCGATCGTGGTGACGCGACATACTGGGCATCGAACGACGACCAGCAGAACGAGTCACTTGACATCCTGCATCACCTCTCTTACCTGTCGATGAATGGCAAACTCCATCTTGCGCCGCTGAAGAAAGAGTCGGTCAAAAGTGTCCTGGATGTTGGCACAGGCACAGGCATCTGGGCCATTGACTTTGCCGACGAGAATCCCGGCAGCGAGGTCATGGGCACCGATATCTCCCCGATCCAACCCTCGTGGGTGCCACCAAACCTTCGATTTGAAATTGAGGACTTTACCAAAACCTGGAGCTTTGCTGAGAACTCCTTCGACTACGTCCACATGCGATACCTGTTCGGCAGTGTCACAGACTGGTATGAGCTTTTCAGACAGTCGTACCGCGTCTGCCGACCAGGCGGGTGGATCGAGAGCTACGAGGGCTCAGCCATGTGCTACAGCGACGACGGCACTCTCAAACATGACAGCGCCATGGCAGAATGGGGCAAGTTCTTCATCGAGGGTGCGAAAAAGCTGGGGCGCGTTTTCACACCGATCCCGGACAGCCTCCAAGAGAAAGGGCTTGAGGCGGCCGGGTTTGTGGATATCACGTCGTCAACGATGAAGATTCCCGTGGGAGGCTGGCCAAAAGACGAGAAGCTGAAGGAGATTGGTCGATTCGCGCAGCTGACGCTCGAGTCGGACGTCGAGGGCTACGTGTCTTTCATGGCTGGTCTGCTCGAGGGATGGACTCAACAGCAGATATTGATGTACTGTGCTCAGTTCAGGCGTGAGCTGAAGGCGAGAAAAACGCACGGCTACTACCTACAACGTGTGGTGTATGCACGAAAGCCTGAGACGTCAACGGTTTAGTTCCCTTGCCCGCTGGTAGGCATCGTTGCCTCGGGGGGGATATAATGGTGAAGTGCTCGGACATGAGTCAATGCACCTTACAAAGGTAACGGAATGTGACATTTTGAAAAATGCTCTATATTCCTTCATGGTGCATTTGAGAGCAAGTCGTGGTATTGTTCGTCCCAGGATACTAGACTTTGATCTACAGCTGGTAGATCAGATGCAGCATGGTTGGTGCGAGGCACAGCCGCTCGCCGGATCGTCAATTTGGAGCGATCTTCTTCCCCAGACGAACTGACGACGCGGGAACGGCCCGGCTCCGCGGTGATCTTGAGTCGTACAAGAAGCATCGCGCCCTGGTTGTTGAAAACTGACACAGGTCAATCGCCTCATCATTGAAAGTTAATTGGCAGACGGCTGAGCGTCCTGTATCGCGCGCTGTTTGTTACTGAAGGAGCTCAATCAATGACGCCAGCGAGCTTCATTATGGTTGATTTTGACTTTCTGAGTTGATTAACCTTAATTTAGGTGCGTCCTGCACCTCAGCCACAAGTACCATGGCACCGGGTGCTACGGTAGTCCAGATAACAGCACCCAAGGTATATATTTGAAAGATGATGATAGAAACATGCTCGACGATGGGATCGCACAAAGTTTGTCTTTGGTCACGACGAGATCGATGCTCCAAGGGGGGTTCGCGCTCACCTCGAACGGGGCCGTGTGTCCTTGTCAGGGGTGGCCTGGCAGCTGGAGTTCTGGCATCCTGAATCGCGCCGAGGTTGGTTTTGGGACGATCAGGCACTTGGGCCAACAAACCACATGGGAGCGATCCGTCAAACGGCTGGAAAGACAATTTCAGCGAGCCATGGGAAATCTTTACTATTGCCCGGGATTGGAGTCTCCTGGTGGACGCACCGCCGTTTCGCTACAGGCGTCGTTTGGTAGTCTGTTTCGCAATGAAATGAAGGGCATGAGAACAAGGGAAATTGCAAGTCGCTTTCGTGTGGGCGGCGTTTACCTCCCCCTCACCAGTGAAGTTGTTGT